ATGAACATAATCAAATGCTTTTGCAAATTTTTGAGGTTCTTCCCTGCCCACTTCTCATTAAGCAAAAGAGTTTTTCCCAGCCTAAATGCTGAGTTATTTGTCATCTTTAGATTCTATGATATTCAAATGAAGATTTGTGTTTTGGAAAACTGACCATTCAAAATCAAACTTAAATGGTCAGGTAAAAAATATAGAATTGACCTTGATAAAGAACTGTTCTGCTAGTATTTTGAGACTTGTTGATAAAGCAACTTCAACCCCATATTAATAATTCTAGATACCATAATATTCCTGATCTAAGTTCTATTTAAAGTTACTGAAATTTTGCAGATGTTGTTCCTCAGTATTTTCAAGTTAAAATATATGGAGTAATCTAGATAGAGATATAAATTTGGTGTGTATCTTTGAATCTGACCTCAATACATTACTTAACGGTAACTTTTTAAAGTTGTGTTTTTCATTTGTCAGCATTATAAGCTTTTTTTCTGTTTTCTGTTTAATCTTTCTAAATACCATTAATAGACATAATTACTCACATTTGACAAGGAATGTTAGTTCTCAGAAAGATTAAATGATTCTCTGGATTATATAAGTGTGAAATAACAAAGTCAATTTTTAAAACATAATAATTAAGTTTCTTGCATAATGCTTATTTCTCACACATGTTTAAATCTCCTGTGATGAGAATCATAGCTGTCACAAACAAGGTTCTTATTAAAACATGCATAACTGATACATCATGGTATGACATAACAACAAACATAACATAAAATAACATAAAATAACATAACATTACATAACATAACATAACATAACATAAAACATAAAATAACATAACATAAAATAACATAAAATAACATAACATAAAATAACGTAACATTACATAACATAACATAACATAACATAAAACATAACATAACAAACATCAAAGGGGAAGCAGGGGAAATAAAATTTTTTCTCCAGCAGCTGATAGAACTAGGTCTTTCCTTGACCAAAATAAATAGATAGATGATAGAGAGATAGATAGATGATAGATAGATAGAAAGATATAGATAGATAGATAGATAGATAGATAGATAGATAGATAATGGATAGATAGATGGATGATAGATTTAAAAGGCAGGGCTAATTAGTTGAAATCAAAGGAATTTTATTCAATTTGTTGTTTGAACCAGAAGTTATGGTGAAACAAAATGTTTTTTATGTGATAATTAAGATACATGCGTAACAGACACATATATGTGAATGAGTGTGTTTATGTATGTGCTTACATGTAAGTGAAGGATATTTTTATAATTAGGTATGTTATGTGTTTTTAACCTATCTCTATCAGGGACATTTATCATTTATACATGTATAAAATAGGGCTTTTAGTAAATCAATGTGAAAGCGACACTTTAAAATTTTAAGAACATGATTTCTGGTTGGACTTTGAGGGGTAGACTCACACATATACACATATATGTGATGCACTCACTATTTAAATAGTATTTAAATATATGTTATTTAATGTTTATATTAATTATTCAGTTTGTCTGCTTATAGAAATTCAAGTATGAGAATCGATACTGGTAAATAAAGATGTTCTTTAATTAATTTCTCCTAAAATTTTCTTCTTTCCTTCCATCTTCTTCACCCTCCTTTCCTCCTTCTATTCCTTTTTTCTCTTTTTCTTTCCCTCTGTATCCTTGTCTTGTTCTGTCACTCTTGCTACTTCTGTTTCTGCTGTCTGTTTTATTTATCCAACACATATTTAATCTGCTGCTATTGACCTGGAATATGGTCAACTGCAACCTTACTGCTTTTCGACAATTCTTTCAAAAATATAAATAATACATGTAAGAGATTTGATAGATATATGTAAGAAGATAGACTGACATATATATATATATATATACACATATATATAATGAGATATGTAATCTCATTCATATATATAATTTCTTCATACAATGTGATTTTTAATAAATTCACATATAGTTTTAATATGACATTTTAGACTATACAAATAATGTGAGATTATTTTACAGAAATATTTCTATATTTTTTAATGAACAATGTGCTAGTGAAGTTAAATATGGGATTTTATTTATTTGTTTGTTTGTTTGTTTATTTTTATTATAGTGACATTGGTTAACAAAACCCTATAAGTTTCAAGCATACAATTCAACAGTAAGTCATATATATATTGTATTCTGTGTTCACCGCCCATAGTTAGATTTCTTACTGTCACCACATATTTGACCCCTTTTTACTCCAAGTATTTTTTTTTTTTAATGTCTACCATTCACTTACGCATACATTTATATTGAATTGAATAATACGAAAGCTTGGAAACAAATGCTGATTAAATACTTTTAAGCAGTGTGCTATGTGCTTTTGCTGTCATACACTTAATCCTCACAGTAACATTTAATACAGTGTCATTATTACAAATTTAATTAAAACAAAATTGAGATTTAGTGAGATCAAGCACCTTACCTCGATCAGGTCAATCATTCATTTATACAAAAATGATTTCTTATAATACATAGCATTTTCCAGGGAAATATTCTCATTTAGAGAAACAAAAAGGCTTGTTGTGATCTCAAGCACTTGCAGACTAGTTAAGACAATTAAAAACTTTATGGGTGCAATGATGGAAGCATTAAAAGTACCAAAGAAAGCAGTTTGTTTAATTCTATTTGAAAGGATTAGGGAATATTTTCTAGAAGAGATAAAACCTGAGATTGATTTTTAAGACTGAAGAGAAATTCATTAGGTATGTAAGAAGAGGGAAGGTCAAATGATCGAGTCAGAGGGCTTGGCTTGAGCAAAGGTATAAAGACATAAAATGATAATAAATAAGGATAAAGTTCCAAGTATCTTCAAGATTACTGTAACAAAATGTAGAGCAGAGGGAGGTCATTTAGTATTACTGATGAGCTTAGAGAAATATGGTGTCCAGATCATAAAAGTCTTGTGCGTCATAATAAGCAAAGGAAGCTAAGTTTATTTGTCGTTTATGGGGAAATATTTAAAAGAACGTATACAGTAATATTGAAATTTTATAAAGTCAATATGAAAAATATATGAACAATGGATTTATGGAGAAATACTTGAGGTAGAGTTTTCAGAAAAGAAATTGTTAGAGTCTGTTTTAAAGAAACAATGATTAAGATGAAGAATAATGGTGAGATTTAATAAGAATAGCCTCTAGTTAAACATCATTTTATGTAGTGAAGCATTATTCTTAATATTTTTTATTAGAAACCTAGGGAAAGTAGATACTAACATTCTCATTTTCCAATAAAGATGTAGGCACCAAGCGATAACTTATCTAACTAGAGATAAACTGCTAGTAAGAAGAGGGCCAAATTTGAATCCAGGCACTCTGGTTCTTGACCCTTTGCTCTTCATAATTTCACTATCAATGGTAAAATTGACAGACATTAAAAACACATCTGCCTTATTAGTAATATTTCTAAAGAAAACACAAGCAAAAATTATAAGGATTGGGAAGGGTTAATTTAACTCTTATGTTTAGGGTATATAGTTGAATTCCCTGTGAAACATCTGTGTAGAGATGCCTATAGGTCAGTTGAATATATATTTATAACGAGTATCTTATCAAGTATGGAATTTAGGAATTAACTGAAGCCTTGAGGCTTCAATTTGCCCAAAAATTGTATAAGAATCAGAAGAGAAGAGAAGGAGCAAAGAAGTAAACCAATGAGAAATACAGAAAGTATGCTTTTTGTCCAAAGGGAGCTTTATATTTCTAAGGAAAAAGATACATGTAGGAATTTAGATTTCTTTGAAATAGGGGGAAAAATGAAAAGACAATTTTGACAAAAATGTTGGAGAGCACATAGAGCTTTCTGAAATTTTTTCAATATGCTATGTGGACCATTTAGATCAAAGTCAAATAAGTGAATATGTAAAATAAAATAGCCTGGGACTCATCCCAGATACACTGATTTCTGGTCATGGGAGGCAAGTTATTTTACAAACCACAGTGACGTTTTCTTTGTGAATGAGTTGAAAGAAGATTTAGGGAAGATATACTGAAGAGATACATTTTGATGAATTATAGTTTTTTGGTCAGTTATATTGAGGTATAACATATACAGTAAAATTCACCAATTTTAACAGTAAAATTTGATGAGTTTTAAAAAAATGTATGAAGTCAGGTAGTCATTACATTGGCCAGGGTATGAAACATTTTCATTTCTTAAGAAGTCACTTCTTGCTGTATGTAGACAATCTCTTCACACTCCCATTCACCTCTGAAAATTGATCAACTATCACTACGACTTCATCTTTTCTAGAATTTTATATAAAAAATAAAATTGCTCTTTTGTATTTGCCTTCTTTTACATAGCATGACTGATCCATTCATCCTGTTGCATCTATCAGCAATGTATTCCTTTTTAACTTAAATTTCATGGATCTGCCACAGTTTATTTATGCATTTAGTAGTGGATGTATATTTGGTTTCTTTCCAGTTGTTTGCTATCACAAATAAAGCTGCTGTGACTATGTACAAGTCTTTGTGTGGACATGTGTTTTTATTTGTCTTGGGCAAATTCTTAAGAGTGAGATTGCTGGGTAATGCTGACTGTATAATAAGGGCATGTGTGACTTTATGAAAAAATGTCAAGCTGGTTTTTTTTAAAAGGCCATAACCATTTACATTACATTCATCTTATATGAGAGTTCCAGTTGTTCCACATCCTCACCAACACATGGGATTTTCAGTCTTTTTAATTCTAGTCATTCAAGTGGTATCTTATTGTAAAGTACATTTACATTTACTTAATAAATAATGATGTTGAGCATCTTTTCATGTGGTTGGTTGCCATCCATATATCAAAAGAAACAATGATGAATTTACAAATATAAATTTTATGATTCTGTGTATTAACAATCTGTTTACTTAAAATTTAGTTTTCACCTTTACTGACACGTGATTTCTCTTTTGTAGGTTTGCAAGCATCCTGGACTACAGTCAGACCTACATGCTGGCTTTTAATAACACTGCCTCGAACTGGCCCACCTTTTCTTTCATTGGTATCCCTGGCCTGGAGGCTGCACATATATGGATATCCATCCCCTTATGTCTCCTGTATCTTGTAGCCCTTGTGGGTAATGCTCTTCTGCTTTTCTTAGTTAGAGCAGAACGGAATCTTCATGAACCTCAGTTTTATTTTCTGGCCATGCTTGCCCTTACTGACCTAGGCCTTTCATTGTCTACAATGCCTACTGTCTTGGGTATCTTCTGGCTTGATGTCCGCCTCATTGGCCTGAATGCCTGCCTAGCCCAAATGTTCTTCATCCACACCCTCTCCTTAGTAGAATCAGGAATCCTGGTGGCCATGGCATTTGACCGCTTGGTAGCTATCTGCGTTCCACTAAACTACACCAGGATTATGAACCACTATACCGTTGCCTGCTTTAGTGGAGCTATCCTTATACGAGGTGCTACTCTGCTGGCTCCTCTACCTTTTTTCCTCAGGAACTCTTCTTTCTGTGGGACCAATATCCTCTCACACTCTTACTGCTACTACCAGGATATACTGAACCTGGCCTGTGGGGATGTCACTTTCAGCAGTGCCTATGGATTGATTTTTGTACTCTTCACATTTTCATTGGATGCTGTCTTTATCCTAGCTTCATACATGAAGATCTTGGGCACTATTATGAAGCTGAAGAAGACTCAAGACAGAAACTGGAGATCACTGCATACCTGTGCCTGCCACCTATGCACAGTACTTGTGTTCTACTTGCCCCTCATCAGCTTGGCAGTGCTGCATCGTTATACCCAGGATACTTCCCCAATTCTATATACCACCATGAGTAATGCCTACCTCTTCATGACGCCACTGCTCAACCCTCTGGTCTACAGTCTCAAATCTCGTCAGATCCAGGCTGCCTTGCACAAGCGATTTTGGGTGCAACATGTCATTGCTGGAGAATGATATCTCCTCTATATCAGAAGGAATAACTGATTAAAATCTATTTAGCATCTACTATGTGTCAAAAAGTATGGTAGGCATCATAAATTCAAAAATAAAAATACTCAGGTCTTTGCCTCAAGAAGTAAGTATGTAATCTAACTAAGGAGGGAAAAAAGACAAAATGCTTAAATAAATCATCATAACTCTGATCATGGATGATGATTGTTTGGTAGTGATAGGGAGAAATGGTGATAAATATCCAACTCGAGCTCAGTGTTTTTGGTGTATGAGGTTAATAGAAATCACATTGCTTCCACTGCTAAACTGAACCTAACTCTGGGCTATAAAAGATCAATGAGGGGCTGATTTTATAGAGATCAAGATGTCACCTGGTTGTGGATTGCCCATGTTAGGTTAAGGCATTAGGGAAACTGTAAGGAACAAAAGACAGAAGGTGAAAAATGAAAAAAGGTTATACATGACTATTAAATCAATAAATTAGTGATTCATGAGTTCATGTTCACATAACTTGATTCAAAATGGGTAGAATAATAATGTCTGGCTCTACTCTGTGAGTATTAATTTAGAGGCATCATTAGTGTACATAAAAATTTGACGTCTGTCCCTGATCTGCAATGGCAATACTGAACTGACAAATATATCTGATATTCACAATTATAAAATGGGTAAACCTAGTCTGAACTCTTTTGTACATTTGCAAATATACACATATTATGAAAAAATATTTTAAAAGGGAACTCTCAATATGTCTTTGAACTGAAGAACAACTATATTATTCTCTGCCTACTTTTGATATCACCATCTGAGTGACAGAAGACTTTAATCTTTTGTATTTATCTTTAAATCCTGGCTTTGCCCTGGTACTCTACTATATTTTTGGTTTGTAGCATAATAGTTAATATTTATTGAGCATTTTCTGTATGCCAGAAATTGTGGTAAACACATTATGTAAATTACTACATTTCTCCTTTCAACATCCTTAAAACATAGATACTATTATGAACTCGTTTTCACTGATGGGGACATTAAGGCATAGAAAGCCTGGGTTACTATGTTCCCTGAATATATACAAGAGAAGATGCAGAGTCTCGATTTTAGTTTAATCAGTACATCTTATCTTTAACTAGATGTGAAATCCAATTTAATATACCAGAGGAAATCAAGTATACATTACATATATGGACAATTTTAGATAAATACACTTTGTTATATTTGTGCTTTAATTTGTCCCTAAATTGTTATGTTAAATGAAGTTTAGCTTGGAATGGTTTCAGAAAAACAATCATAAAATATAAACAGATTTAAATAAAAAATATGAAAATAAAACCTCTTGTCTTTTATTTGGAATATGTCCTTCTACAATGCTTTAAATTCCCCCCCAAATACAGAATGTCTGCATAACAATATAAATATCTTATTTTTAATCATATTTGAGTCCTATATATGGGAGATTCTCATATAGAAAATATTTGTAGGACTATTTGGATTGAAATATGTCTCATAGGTTAAGTGGTATGAATTCTAGGTATGAAAACCATAATTATAAGTTGCAGGTGCAAGAAACTTTAGAAATACATTTCCTGGTAATATTTAAAACTGGAAGGGACTCTCATATTTTCAGAAAGTTTGGAATACACAGTTGTTTCTTTTCATGTGTCCATTCTCTCTCTCCATAGTAGGTCTCTGGTGTCCTCTGAGTTTATCCTTAGAGTATGTACCTGAGCACCCACTGGGCAATTCGTACTCCCTCTTCAAATCATGAGACTGATCTCTGTATTCCCTGGAGAAGTGAAGAAGTGAATTCTCATTTGTATTCCCAAATGTATTCTCAAAGTATATTGCTTGGCTATCAATTAGAGAAGATCTGGCCTTGCTGTGCTAAGGAAATATAGATTTGGTGTCCTGGGACAGAGGTACCTGGAGCCTCACTTTCACAGATGTTACTATATACCTCTCTAACACTGGTATAAGTTTCATCAGACAATAGGACGAATTAATCCTTTTGTACCAAAGGCTGACATATCATCTTAGCTATTTTCAGGTACATATGCTATCTGTGCAATGGGTCAGAGAAATAACACTGCATGAACAGAAAGAGAGAAATTCTAAACTTTAGAACACAAAACAACTCAAGAATTTATGAGAGAAAGGAAACCTGAGTGTGACTTGGTTCTTGTCCCACGATAAAAAAAAAGTAAATTATTGATACTTTGTCAGTTAGTATTTAATAATAATTAATTTAATAATATAATTATTTATCAATAATTAATTGATAGTTGCTCAGCTGGCCTTATACCTTTAATAGAAAGAAGAGTGAGCTATGTGGTGACACATGGTAACCATTGAGAAATCTCTGCCTCCCAGAATTATCTTATCTAGTGTGTTTAAGAAGCCAAATTCTACATTATCATTTCATTTCTAGAATTATTTTTTCCCATTTTTTTTAATATGAACACTTTTATCTTGACTCTCATTGGCCATTAACATGTCAATCTGATTTGGTCTAGGAAACATTTCTTTTTTCCTTTTTTCCTTTTGATTAATGTGAAATTCACATACATAAAATTAACCATTTAAAAGTAAGTGTACACTTTAATGTCATTCTGTACATTTACAGTGTTGTACAATCATTACTTCTATCTAGTTTCAGGATGTATTCATCCCTCTACAATAAAATCTTATACAATCCTCAATCTATTTTATGTTTCTATGCATTTACCAGTTCTGAATATGACATATAAATGAAATCATAAAATATATGACATTTTGTTTCTAGTGTCTTTCACTTAGCATAATGTTTCTGAGGCTTGCCCATGTTGTAGCATGAATCAGTACTGCATTTTTATGGCTGAATAATATTCCATTGTGTGTATGTACTACAATTTGTTTATCCATTCATCTATTGAATGATAGACCATCTTTCAACAGAACGATCAACTTTCTTAACATGAACGACTTTCGATTTCTAGTGTCTAATGAACACTAAAAGAAACCTATAGGTCTCTCCTAATTATCAATATTTCACTTATGTTAGTGAATGATTCTTTGAATAGATAAATAGAAATTCATAAGAACCAGATCATTTTTTCTCTTGTGTTGGCTAATCCTGATTTTATTTTTGCTTTCCAGAAAATGACTGTTAACTGCCTCAACTCTACATCATTACAATTTGAATATTCCAGGTAATTCTTTAAAACAGAAAACAAAATAAAAATACATTTATTTCTCATTGATTTCCGCACATAATCTCATTTCACGATGTGGTAAAGATTAACATTTTGGCAATAGTCTTCTTAATTCTCAGGTGTTACAGGCATTAAGTATAAACTGGAGTTGAGAACATGGTGTTTGGAGGCGTACAGATGTGAGTTTAAGTCCCGGTTCTACAATTATCATATTTTTCGGGCATCATGCTCTTACCTCTACTTTATACTTAATGCCTGCAAAACCTGAGAATTCAGAAGACAATTGCCAAAATGTTAATCTTTACCACATCATGAAATGACATTACATGGGGAGGTCAATGAGGAATAAATATCTGAATAAAAGTAAAAATATATACTTCATTCATGTACAGATTAATAATCAAAATAATATATCTTTGAATAAGACAAATGTTTGCTGGAATCAGGGAATTCATAGTGTGTCTAATGTAAGTGGACGTGAATAAAAATTAGGTTAAAATATTATAAATAATTAAATAAATGTGGTTAAATGGCACCTATATGTTCATATCTTTAAATTTTATATAAGCTAAAAAACTGTTAGATTTATCATAATTTCTGTATTCTTATGTATAAAATGTGGTAGTTTCTAATCCTGAATCTAATCATTTTTGATTAGGGAGATATTAACAATTCACCTAGTATCTTTTAACTGTCTCCTTTCCTTTAACATGGAACTACTAAAACTCACCTCTTTTGGTTTAAGAAAAGTTAGTTTGGGTAATGAATTAAAGTTCAGAGTTTAAGGTAGACATCAATCACTCAATTTTTTCTTCCTTTCTAGAATCAAATATTTTAAAGATATCCCTCACTTGTTTTATAGTTACATTTTAATGTGAAATAATTACACTTTTACAAGTGCAATGTATTATCAATCTCTTAGATGACATATTTATTAACTTATTTATTTATACTTAAAAATGTATTTATTGTATACAATATTACAGATATTCCATAAAGTAATAAAGATGAATAGCAAAGACAACAGACATAGTCCCTAATTTAGAAAAGAAGAGTCATTAAATGATAATTATGTTAGCAGGTAATAAGAATTGTGATTGTCAAGTCAATTATCTATGCCTATATACATTAATTGATTTATTACAGAAAAGAATTAGAATTTACTGTGTCACTAAATAAGGTATAAACCATAGATTTAGGATAAAACAGCACAGTGACTCCCCACAACAATCCTTCATTAATTGAAAAAGATAAATGTGAAGATGTAAGTAAAATTGTGTTGTATTATAATAAAAATTTTTATGGGATATATTGAGGGAAAAAAGAAATGCCAATTCTACTAAAATGTCAAAAACATTAATAATAGAGGAAGTTTTGTTTAAGATTGGTATTGCATTTGAAGCCAAGCAATTGGTAAAAGCCTAAGTCATGTGAAGGCTGGTATACATATGTAAAAATATGTTGAATCATCTAGTTTGAGAAGTGGCACTGTGTAGTTGGAGCTGAAGCTGAAGGAAAGGGCAAGCATAAGAAAATGTAAAGCTTTATAAAACATGTTAATAACTTGGCCTTTATCATATAATTAATTGTAAAACACAACTATTTAAATATTTAAATAGAAGAGAGACATAAAAATTATTTCAGTAAGATCTCTCATGCAATTCTGCGGATGATGAATTGGATCAAGACAATAACCAAAATACCACCATTTTCTTGGCAGACAAGAAAAAAATACCTTAACTCTCATAAAATCATGCTGCGAAATGACATAGTTCCCAGAAGGAAGCAGACAGGTAAAAGGTGATGAGAGAATTAAGGCATCTTTTTCACTAAGGCCATACTTGATTACTTGGGCTAGTTTTGCCTACCCTTGAATATCTTGTGGACTGCAGACCTTATCTGTTTAGTTTTTAAACTGTAAACCAAGGGGTTAAGGACAGGAGTCAAGAAAAGGAAGAGATTGGCCATGGTAACATGGAGAAGAGGAGATGTGAATGTACCAAACCTATGAATTAAAGCTAGCACAATGAGTGGCACATAAAAGATGCAGACAGTGAAAATGTGAGAAACACAAGTATTAAGTGCCTTGAGTTGACCATCTTTTGAGGCAATACCCACGACCGTTTTAAAAATCAGGATATATGAAATAACAATGAACACAGAGTCAATTCCAAAAATGCAGAGGACAAGGGACAATCCATAGATGATGTTGACTCTGATAGGGCCACAGGCCAGCTTCATAACATCAGGGTGGTAGCAGTAACAATGAGATAGAATAACATTCTTACAGAAGGGCAATCGCTTGAGCAGAATTGGCAGGGGTGCCACCAACACCACACCCCTAATCATGGCTGCAAGCCCTATCTCTATAATCCGAGGAGGAGTTAAGATCACAGTGTAGTGCAGTGGGTTGCGAATAGCTACAAATCGATCAAAGGCCATGGCCAGCAGGATGGCTGACTCCATGAAGGAGAAGGTATGGATGAAGAACATCTGTGTTAGGCAGGAGTGAAACTCAATCTCTCTGTTATTCAGGAGGAAGACATTGAGTACTGTAGGTAGAGTTGATAAAGACAGACCCACATCTGTGGCTGCCAGCATAGACAGGAAGATATACTGAGGCTCATGAAGACTGGAGATGGTTTTGATAACAAAGAGGATGGTGCAGTTCCCTAGAATGGCAATTATATACATGACACACAGTGGGATAGAGATCCATATTTCTACAGCCTCCAGTCCAGGAATGC